CTGGCGCTGTCGCATCTGCACTCGAAGAACATCGTGTTCCGTGATCTCAAGCCCGAAAATGTTGTGATGGACTTGGACGGCCACTGTCTACTGACGGACTTTGGTATCTCGAAGGAAGGCATCAAGGACCACACGTCGGCCAACACGTTCTGTGGCTCTCCCATGTATTTGGCACCGGAAATGCTGTCCCGTTCTGGACACGGTTTCGCGTTGGATTGGTACTCGGTGGGCGCTCTACTGTTTGAGCTGCTTACTGGTCTGCCGCCATTCTACACGAACGATAAGAAGCAGCTGTTCCACAACATTCTCCGTGGCCACTTGGTGATCCCAGAGTACCTATCGTCCAACGCCCGCGACCTTATTCAGAGATTATTGCACCGTGACCCGAAGCAGCGACTGGGATCTGGCCCCACGGGCGACCGCGAGATCTTTGACCACCCGTTCTTTGCTGGGGTTAACTGGGAGAAACTCAAGGCGCGTGAACTGCCGCCTCCGTTCCAGCCCAAGATTAAGAAGGACCCATCTGGTGTGCCCGATACGTCCAACTTCCCGCAGGCTTTCACGGACCAGGAGATCTCAGAGATGGAGCGGGGCTTTGACCTTATGGACCCCAACGCTGCCCAGGTGCAGCGCCCCAACCCGAATGGACACAAGGACGACAAGCGTCTGTTTAAGGACTTCGACTTCACACCGGAGCTTCAACTGGACAACGAGGCGAAGCAGTTCGAGCAGCTTGCACTTCAACAGAACAGTTTTAAGAACCTGCCGCCGCCAGCTCTGCTCGAGACAGATGAGTACAGCATCTAGACACCAGTAAATTTCGTGAGGGTCTGCCCAAGGAAGGCAGTCGACTGCGCCCTGAAGACAAGCGGAGCGAGTGGAAGAATACCCCCCGATACAATGGTGGGACGAGATGGAGAAATGAACGGAGAGACGCTGCGGATTCGCCAGGGTAGCCAGGGTAGCCACACAGCTTGAAGTTTGAGTTTACATGGAATGTAGGAGGACGAGCTGAGTTTGAGTCGCGGGTGCTCTTCGTTTCTTGCCCTAAAAAGGGCAAAACAATCAAATGACAAAAACAATCTGCGTAGTCTTTAAATTTTTTTTTAATATCTCTACTGTAGTCTGGTAATTGGTGAGTGCATTGCGGTGTACTGGGGGCTGGAGAGGTTGAAGCTCTTCTTGTCCTCGTCTGAATCGTCCACTTTAATCTGGAGCTGGACGTCGTCTTCCTCTGAGTTCTCGTTGGTGTTGATGTCCCAGTCGTCCTTGAGTGGGTGCGTCTTTGGGTCGTAGATATGATACAACACGAGCGTGAATGTGCTCATGGAGAAGAAGAAAATGTTGATGGAGATCATGAACCAATTCTGGATTAGAGACCCATACGTCAGCCAGATCATGTTGTTGGCGTAACCAGCAAGTACCATCGGCAAATTGATGAATACAGCGGACTTGTGCTTGAGAACCTGGAACAACTTCTCCATCGGTGCGCAGTACAGACACAGACTGGCAACGTCAGCGAAGAAACCGAGAACAGTGCTGACGCTGTGACGAGACTGGTAGGTATATCCGAGACCACCGACAATGGCGTAGACACTCAGGATTGCAATAATGACAATGGTTGTGGCAATTGAGCGCACGACGTAGCCACGGTTGTTCGAGTAGCGGTAGTAGATGGTCAGGTAAACTACGGCAGCAAAGTCACCAAGGAGGAA